CAGAGACACATCTTCACAGTGTACAAAAAGATTATCTGACAACGAGTCTTCTAAGTGTTTGGTGCCATAAGCTTCCCTTTTGCACTGTCTTTGCTACATCTAAGAGTTCTGTTTCTTGGGAGTCTAAGTAGACGGCTCAGTGGTTAAGAGCACTGGCTGCTCTTCCAGAGGACCCAGGTTCAATTCCCAGCACCCATATGGCAGCTCACACTCATCTGTAACTCATCTCAGGAGATCCGATGCCTTCTTCTGGTGACCCTGGGCACCTGGCACATAAGTGGTGCATAGACATCCAGGCCGGCGAGACAACCACACACACAGACATTTGAAAAGAAAAGGGTTCAGTTTCTTGATTTAAAAAATGTATGCTTTTTAATTTTCTTTCTCATGCTGTGGATGAAACTCAGGGCATTGCCCATGCTTACAAGAGCTCCACCATTGTGCTATTACCCTGGCCTAAAGGGAGTGGTTTTTGACAGAAACCTGGCCTTCTGAGTTTATAAATTCCGAATCCTAGTTCCACTTTGCATTTAAGCTGGACATTACTTTGGCAGGGGAATTTTATGCCTTTTTGCTATTGGCAGAAGGGAGTGGAAGTCTATATGTTCCACATCACTGACACCTAGAGGAACTCTTTATTACTGTTTTGTACAAATAGAAGTCCAAGCTCCCAATAGGCCTCCACTGACACCCCGTTGGTTGGGAGGGGAGGGGAGAGAGTACTTATTACTTCCTGCCTGCCTCTTCCCATTTGTGGGAAGTGGGCTTGTCGCCAGTAAGGAGTGATGGAAGTCCTGACTCTCTACTTGGCTACTGCTGTCGTCACACTGAGAGAAGGGGGAGGGGTGACTCCTTACATCTAAGTGGGAATGGAAGCCTAGGTTCCCTTGTTGACCAGTCCACTGACACCATTGGATAAGAGTCCCCTTACAGTCTACTGGGAATGGAAGTCCCAGCTTGCCACGTGTCCTTCCCTGAGACTACCTGTGGAAGAGGAAGCGGTGGCATCGGAGGCACTCTGGGATTTCTTCTGAGCAAGCGTGGAGGAGGGCTGAGGCTTTTTCATGGTTTTGGAAAGCACTGAATTGTCATTGTCTGCTAGTTGTTTTCCTTTCTAAGTTGCTGTTTTCCTGGTCCTTTGCCAGAGAGAACAGGTTTTTTCCTGGGACTTTGTGCTTGCCAGCCTCTCTCGGTGGCCGATTCCTCCAGTATCTCGTCTGGGATACATGAAGCCACCATGTTCTATAGGGGCCGAGATTGTAGTTGGTCTATCTTTTCCCTCCCTTTTAGTTCTGGTGATGTGCAGGGTGTGATTTATGCACAATGGGATAAATAGAAAAAATGTAATTAGTCCAGCTTCTTAGAAATTACAGTCCCCTGTCCTGTTTCTACAGAAGGTTATGTTGACCCCTCACCAGTGAGGTCTATTTGTGTAACATCCTGGCTGGAAAGTTCAAGTCCTAATTCTTGCATGTGATAAATCCAATTCAAATGGACTGAAAAGTACACTGAAATTTGTTGTTTTGCTTCTAGAACAGTCTTTAAGCAGGAATGAAATGTAGGTTCACTAAGGTTTGGTAGACAGAATCAATCTTTCAGAATGATTATGGATCATTCTGAACTCGCAAACATGAGTATAGAGTTTTCAAAGCTGTGAAGAGAAGCCATGAGGTCACATAAACTTCTGTGGATATGTCAAAGGGAAAGATACGGAACATATTTGAAAATGTAGCTAACATATATTTGAAAATAAATTTTTTCCAGGTGCTCATGGTGATATATAGATATGTGTGTGTGTGTAATATTATATATAAAGTATCTATATCTATCTATCTATCTATCTATCTATCTATCTATCTATCTCCAATTATTCAGGAGGCTGAGGCAGGAGGATGGCTTGAGTTCACTGAGTACAGCCTAGGCAACAAAATAAAACTAATGAAACAATATCAACATAAGTATTCTACTACATTTCCAGATTTTGTGGATAATTGTAAGGATTTTAATTTAAACATAATTGATTAATTAGGAATGATAGCTGTGGAAAGACATACACAGTTAATTACATTATGATAGGGAGATAAGGAAGGGCAGGGTACAGAGAATGGAGGGGAATATACTCAAAGCACATTTGTTGGCAACAGGCAAAAGCATTTTGCCCTGAGTCCTGTCTCATTTTGCTTGCAGGAAGAAACAAAGTTCAAGTTTCCCAACTCTGGGGGAGCCAAGGACTCCCCGATAGCTAACCAGCTCCCCCTCAACAACAGAAATAGCCTGTTACACATTCTTTGTTCTCTAGAAACACGATGACGCTTCCTAACAACAAAAAGAACAAATGATTAATCCCAGCACTCGGGAGGCAGAGGAAGGCAGATCTCTGTGAGTTCGAGACCAGCCTGGTCTAAAAGAGGTAGTTCCAGGACAGGCTCCAAAACCACAGAGAAACCCTGTCTCGAAAAACAAAAAACAAAAAGCAACAACAACAAAAAAAGAACAAATGAATCTGATTGGCTGGATTGAAAAACTTGCATTGTCTGTCAGCTGACAATGATGAAGCACTTAAGGAAAGCCTCTAATCTTTGAATTCTGATTGGTGAAAATTGTAAATGTAGCTTGACACTAATGTTTGTGACTTTTTGTGCTTAAATACTTGCTTCAGCTGGCATTTGGGGTCATAGTTCAGCTCCTGAGTCTGTTTTGTGCCCCTGATTGATTAGTTTTCTTGTTTTGTTTTGCACTGCCCTGTATTAAATCTTTTTGCTGTTGTTGTTTTGTTTTTCGAGACAGGGTTTCTCTGTAGCTTTGGGGTCTGTCCCGGAACTAGCTCTTGTAGTCCAGGCTGGCCTCGAACTCAGAGATCTGCCTGCCTCTGTCTCCAGAGTGCTGGGATTAAAGGAGTGCGCCACCACTGCACCTGTATTAAATCTTGCCTTGAAGAAACCTCATGTGCCTACTCGTGTTGATTTGGAGCCTTGGACCCACAACACATTATAAACTTTTATGAAAATATCTTCATGTAGCTGGGCGGTGGTGGTGCATGCCTTTAATCCCAGCACGAGGAGGCAGAGTCAGGCAGATCTCTGTGAGTTCGAGGCCAGCCTGCTCTACAAGAGCTAGTTCCCGGACAGGCTCCAAAGCTACAGAGAAACTCTGTCTCAAAAAAACCAAAAAAAAAAAAAAAAAAGAAAGAAAGAAAGAAAAAGAAAGAAAAGAAAATATCTTCATGTAACCTCATCTCTTCTATAATGAATATGCAACAATGGAAATGAAATGATTTATTTGCAAGCTTTGTATCTTTCTAAATAAAATTTATTTCCAGATATTATAAATCTTTTTGCATTTTCACTCTTAATTGTGTATTATTATTATTTTAAATTAATTTATTTTTATTTCCTGTGTACTCATTTGCCTGCTTGTATATCTGAGTGAAGGTGTCAGATCATCTGAAACTGGAGTTTCAGATAATCAGTTCCTCTTAACTGCTAAGCCATCTCTCTATTCCCAATTGTTTATTATTACATTTTGTAGCAGGGTCTCTCTCTGTGGCCCTGGCTGTCCTGAAACTCCCTAAGTAGTCCAAACTAGTCTCAAACTCACAGAGGTTTGCCCGCCTCTTCATAGTCCTGCTATGTTAATTTTTATCAGTTTTTCCCTTTAGAGTTGGTATTTGTGTTCCGCCATGAACTACTTTTGCTTTCTATGGCCAAGTTAGTTCGCTATTAGAGTTGTGCTTTTTTGTTTGTTTTCAAAGAGTTGTACTTTTTACATTTAGGTGTGCACTTTGTCGAGAATTCTTTTTCATGAGGTAAAAGAGTCAAAGTCGCTGTTCTTGCTAGGTGTGATGTGAACCTTGTGATCCCTGCAATTAGGAGGTCGAGGCAGAAGGGTTGAGGAGGATCAGGACTGTCTGAACTACATACATATTAAAACCCTATCTAAAAAGAAAGTTCCCAACCAAAATTAAAAAAAAAACCAAAAAACAAAAAACCTAAACTAAATAAACAAACAAAAAACCAAAACCAAATTCCATCCCCAGTCCCTAAGTCCCCAGTTGATAGACTTAGCACTATTGGTAAAATTGTAGGTTCCTAGTTGTGTTAACTGTGGTTACTAGTTGGTAGGCAGAGTAACTAGCTGTGTAGGTGTCTCTCTCTTTTTTTAATTATTTATTTATTATACATACAATATTCTGTCTGTGTGTATATCTGCAGGCCAGAAGAGGGCACCAGACCTCATTACAGATGGTTGTGAGCCACCATGTGGTTGTCGGGAATTGAACTCAGGACCTTTGGAAGAGCAGGCAATGCTCTTAACCACTGAGCCATTTCTCCAGCCCCACTTTTTCTTTTTCTTTCTTTCTTTTTTTTTTAAAAAAAAAAACAAACTGATTCCCTCCCTCCCTCCCTCTCTCTCTCTCTCTCTCTCTCTCTCTCTCTCTCTCTCTCTCTCTCTCTCTGTTTGAGGTTTGGAGCCTGTCCTGGAAGTAGCTTTTGCAGGACCATGCTGGCCTCGAACTCACAGAGATCCGCCTGCCTCTGCCTCCCGAGTACTGGAATTGTATCAACATCACATCGCTCTTTATGATACTCTTGACAGCTGCAGAATTTATTTTTGTTTTTTGAGAAAGTGTCAAGTAGGCTACTGGAAGGTGACCTTGAATTCCTGAGCTTCCTCCCTCCACCTCCCAAGAGCTGGGATAACAGGAATATGCCAGGACACCCAGCTTTGCAGCGTAAATTAAGTTCTTCTGAAAACCAATGGAACCCAAGTCACTACTCAGAATTTCCCTCCGGAAGACTTAAGGTAAAGGACTTAAGCAGGAAGATTTCACTCAGACCTCAAAGGTTAAATTACCCTACGCCGCGGCGAATCTCCAAAGCGCATGTGCTCCCCAAGCGTTGTGATTGGGCGGAGCCAGCTGCGACACGTCAATTCCGAGGCGGGAGGATGAAGTTGATTAACTATGATCTCTCCGTTCACTAGGTAAAGGCTGAGGATGTAGGAGTCCTTTGGTGAGAATGAATGAGGGCAGTGTCCCGTCTATAGCTCAGGAGCGCGGTGCATCCGTTTCGAGTGACTCCTAGTCCGGGCGAGGTGGAGCAAGCTGCGGGAGGCCGTGGGCCCCGATGGCTTCCGGTTTCCCGCGGCGCCCCACTTTGAAGGAAGCTGGGTTCTGGCGCCAGGACTGAAATGCTGGCTCCGTGTGCTCATCCCGGAGGTCGCTGGGTCTGCGTGTGTGCGTGTCGGGGTCTACGAAGGGCACCTGCGCCTGAAACGTGCCTAGGTCGCGTGCGCACGGCTACTGCGGCGTGTGTGGATGCGTGACCCCGGGCTGGAGCGCTCGAGCTCGTGGCTCCCCAGCCCGGGCAGGGTTAGCATTAGCGAAGAAGATCTGGGTTTTCGGAAGGACGGACAAGATACTGACCCTGGAACATCCACGGGAGTGACTTTCTTAGATTCGACACTCTTTCAGCCTTAGGTCTGCCGTTTAGCGGGTGCAACTTTGGGCAGATGTCTTAAACATTCAGCTACCGTTTCTTCAGTTAAAACTTTAGGAATAAGGCAGTAGTGAAGTGTAAATGAGATTTCTCTTGCAAGGGTTTAGCTAGTCGCTGCGCGTAGTAGGTGTCAACACATGGTACGCATCCACTTCTCTTCAGATCATAAACCTTCAGTATAATGATTTGAAGTTGATACACATTCCTTTCCACACGAACACGACCTTGCACTATCTCTCAGGTGGGTATCTAATTTTGTTAGTTTTGTCTTTGTGCAATATTTTATTAAATGGCTTTACAGGGCGACTTCCAGCCTCTAGGTGCAGCTGCCAAGACCCTGTAGGCACTGGCTGGGACATGGCAGGTGGCTCTGGCTTCCCACTCTTTTGTTCTGAGATGGGGGTGGGGGGGTGGGGTGTGCAGGATCTCATCTTTAGGTTCTAGGATGGTCAGGCAGAGAGAGGCTTCTCTGGTTGATCTCTTGGGTCCCAGGGCAACATTATCTTTTACTTCGATGTCCCGCACAACCTGTCTGAGCAACACATGGTGCAGGCGGTATCAGTATAGTAGTTAATAGGGTGGATCTCCACTGTGGCTCTCCACAAGCTTCATGGCCTCGGCCCTCTCCCTCAGAGCTTCCCAGACACTACACACAACCTGGAAGCCCTTGGCCCCACTCTCCGTAATGAAGCCTAGCCCACCATAGCAGCCCCTTGGATCAACCAGTCTTCCCAGAAGTTTGTAACCTAGAGATTCCAGGTGGGTGTCTTTGTGCCCCAAATGTACATGTCCATGCTACTTTTGATGGAAATGCCTATAAGGTCTTTTCTGTCTTTTAACTCTGGAGGGGTGGAGGAAAACTCTAGAGAAGTAGCAGATGGGAAGGGGATCCCTTAATGATACAGTTGGAGTTGGCCATCAAGGGGAGGGAACCCTACTGGAGCGTCCGACCCGTTCATCGTGGCGGCTGTTATAGATAGATGCCCATGGTCCTCATTGAAACAGTCAAGTCAGTGGTATCGCCTTGTTTCAGAAAGCTAAGCTGCAGCACGCTAGTGAGGGAGGCAGGCTCTTAGACACATGCCTCTAGGCGAAAGCTGTGCCCATTCAGGGAAGAAGATGGTCTTTGGGTTGGTGATTGTAAATGAGATTGAAAGATTGTTACAGGTGTGTATCTCAGTGCTGGGCACTGACTTAATATGGAGGCCAGATTCCTCCTCATACCCAGTGCCAGGCACGTGGGGATGCCTGAAGTTCCAGTTCCTACGAGGCAGGAGATCACAAGGCCAGGACTGGAGACCAGACCCCGGTGGAGTTACTCTTTCTGGAGACACAAAAATGGCTCTTCATTCCAGATAGAGAGCAATGACAGACTAAGAGAATGATCCCATCCACGTCAGGCCTGGGAAACCGGTGAGCCCATGAGGGTGACTTACAGGAGCCTGGGGACCAGGAACACAAACAGTTCAAAGGCAGCATCATTACTGAAATGCCCATCCCGGAATGGCAGGTACATTTTTGGCTTCTGTTCAGCTCGCAGGCAGCTGCACCGCTGAGCAGTCTCCTCTCCCCCGAATTGTTTGCTCAGCGCTTTCAGGACAGGCGTTGCTGAGTCCTGAAAGTTTCACGAACATTCAGACTTAGAAGTTTTTATTTCATGAGCTGGGCAGCCCCTCTTTGCTTGCTTAGTGTTTCCTTTCCAACATTTAGAGCTTGTTTGGGATCATTTATTTTTATTCTAGTACTGTGATTAGGATAGGTAGGAATTTCTTTTTATTAGAGAACAGGCTCCGGAAAACTCCTCGCTATGTTGGAAAGGCTCTTTACGCACATTTTTTCTGAGTTACAGGTTGACTGGGGATTTGATAAGAGCAGAGAAACAAAAGTTCATGTACGCTAATAACACATCCTCTGCTTATCTAAGAGGAAAATAGCTTAGTTCCTTTTTTTCCCTCCTTATTTGACAGTCTCATTATGGAACAACTGGATTTCTGAGAAATCCCTCTCCCTTCCTCTATCTCTGTTCTGCCCCAGGCTTTCTACCCTCTGTTGTCCGTAGTTGTGTAAATCCTCGATGAAGCTCTGGTTTCTCATCCTTGATTAACTGGAAGAAGGAAAGAAATATGAGGCGCCTCATGTTTTGAATGGACAGAATGTAACTGGAAAAAGTATGGATCCAATTTTTATCTTTCAGCTGTCAGTGCAGGAAACACAGTGGGAATAAGAGAGAGTTTATTCTGGAGCCAGATACGATCCAGCGTGGTAACAGTTGCATGGTTTTACAGTAACAACAAAGGAGGCCATAATTCCAGTGGCTTTGCAAATCCATTGGTGGAAACATCTGGTAGTCGGGTTCTATAAACGTGGGGAAATCTCAGTTCCAAGCCACAGATGCTATCTGAAGCATTCTTAGCCTTGTGGTTGGTGGAAGCTAGGAGTTTGTACATTCCAAAGCATTTATCTCATGTTCACAAAGACGTTAGGTTCCATACCGAGATGGGGAATAAATGATTACTATGACCCAAGATAATTTAGACTCTGGACTTGCAACATTCCAACCTTTCCACATCATTGAAGTTCTCACAGTCGGTCAGCCTTTCCAGCCACAGCTTTGTTTCAGGGAGTCTGGACTTGTAGACACTTCTTTTAGGTTTTTCAGCAAATATCACTTCCTATTCCTCTGTTGACTTTACTTTTGCCCTTAGCTGCTCAGCGTGTTATATGTGTGAATGATACATTTTATTTATCTTTTCCATCTCTCTGACTGTTGTGACATTTCTATGAGGACAGTTTGTTTCATTCTGACACCAGGCAGCACTCGGTAGTTCTTGATGAGTATTGAATGAAGGTCAACTCTAGCAGCCTTGTCTGGGACAGATGTCCAGCAGACATCTTAGAGTTGATTTGCTTTATTTATATCCATTTCTGAAACTGATGTCTGTGTGCAGTTCCTGTCTGGATGCCTGGCCTAATTCCTAATTAAAATGTCTGTCTGTCATACTGCTTTTTTGTTTGTTTGTTTTTGTTTTTTTTTGATTTTTGGAGGTAGAGTTTCTCTGTGTAACAGTCCTGGCTGTCCTGGAACTCATTCTGTGGAGCAGGCTGTCCTTGAACTCTCAGAGATCCTCCTGCCTTTGCCTTCCTGAGTGCTGGGATCAGGGTGTGCACCACTACTGCCTGGCTTGTGTCATTCTTTTAAAAGTAACTAGCCTCCAGGGGTCACAAAGCACGGTGGCTCTGGGTCAGGCGTGTTAGTCGTTGCAACTGAGCAGTTCTGGCAGTCTGCATCTTTGTCAGCCCACTCCCAGTGGTTTTACACATGGCTTTTTTAGGCCCACCCTTCATGGGTGATGACTTCTGAAACTGCATCCGAGGAGGCTGCAGGCAGCTGGACACTCAGGACATCTTTCTTTTCACAGTTTGACCAGTCAGAGTCTCGACCACAGCAATTGTCTGTGTTGGTACTGCTTGGTAGGGAGTAGCCTTCGAGCGTCCAAGTTTCTGTTCTCTTCCTAATGCTCCCGAGTCTCCCTTCCCTTTCTGGCGGAGGAGGGAATGTTTTATTTAGAGGGAGTGTGGTAATTTCTATGTGCCATATAACACATTGAGATATCAGTTTTCACCTATGTCGAAGTGTGTAGTAGGTATAGTCTGCCCTGGATTAAAGGTGACCGACTAGCTGAGAGTTTGGACTGTAATGAATGGTCAGACTCCATGTGGCGCTCGGCCACGATGTGGCGCTCTTTCTCCTTGTGCTCTGTTTTCGCGTGGCACTGCCTACTGATCGCTGCTTGATGGCGCCTCCCAGTGGCCACATTGCAGCGGCTGGCGCCGAACCCTCTTTGCACCCTGTTTGCAGGGTTGCTGAGGGTATGTGCTTCCTGGAGAGCAGAGATGCTCAGTGTACTTGCTTTCCAGGACTGGCAAAGTACCCTCTAGCCTTACTTCTCATGTTTGCTGTTACTGATGCGGGTCTGCATTCCTCAGATGTGGGGCCATCAGGCTGACAGCCCTAAATACAATACACTGTAGTTTGTTCCAGCAAAGTCCTGCTGACCTGAAGGTGTTCCCTGCTCTCCGATCGTAAGCAATGGCACTGGCGTGAGGAGAAGAGATGTCTTGCTGGGTACTGCTTCTCAGACATGAGCTAGGAAAGAGTGGGTGCCTTTATTCCATTTAAAAAAAAAAGATTATACTTTGGGGGGGGGCAGAGAGAGGGCTCTTCTGAGTTCAGTTTTAGCACCTTCATTGGCAGCTCACAACTGCCTTAACTGTAGCTCTGGGGATCCAGTGTTTAGTTTTTAAGCTCTTTGTATATTCTAGGCACTAATCTTCTGTCAGATGGATAGATGGCAAAGATATTCTCCCATTCTGTAGGCTGCCTCTTCACACAGTGAACAATTTCCTTTGTAGAACAGATTTTCCATTACGTCTCGCTTGCTGCTTGTTGGCCTATTGCCTGAGTGTCTAGAATCCAAATAAGAAAGTCCCGTGTGTGCCTATATCTTTAAGTGTACACACAACTTTAAATTGAGGTCTTTGATCCATTTGGAATTGATTTTTGTGCAAGGTAAGAGGTGAAGATCAAGTTTCATTTGTCTAAATGTAAACATACAATTTTTCCAGCACCATTTGTTGAAAATGCTTTCTTTTTTGGGGGGTGGGGTGGGATAGGGTTTGAGACATGTTTTCTCTGTATAGCCGTGTGTGTCCTGGAACTTGCTTTGTAGACCAAGCTGGCCTCGAACTCAGATCTGCCTGCCTCTGCCTCCTGAGTACTAGGATTAAAGGGATGCTCTACCACCCAGCGATTTACAGGTTTTTAAAGTACTTTATGTGTATATGTGTTGGGAATATTATTTTCAGGCGTGTGACTTTTGTTTATGCTGCATTTGATTAACTGTGAAGCTGTGACTCTTTGCCTAAAACACCCGATGGTCCTAATAAAGAGCTGAATGGCCAATAGCGAGGCCTATGGGGGGACCACAGACAGCGTCACTCTTCTGGCTCCCTGCCTGCAACATACTCCTCTCTCTCGGGCTGGTTCCCTTTCTGCTTCAGTGGGGGTGTTGGCAGGGTTCAGGAAAGGCTATTGTAGAGGCTGAGGTGATGCAAGGCACCAGGCTGTCTCCCCAGTGGTGGTCCAGCAGTAACCCATCATGAAAGTGGAGTACCAGTTGTCTATGAAACAGTCGTTCTCTCCCTTAGCGTTCTCTTAAAGAGACACCAGCAGTGTAGTATGTTTGTTGTGGTGGTTATGAGTAGAGAACAAGAAAATAGAACTCACAGTGAGATCAGTGATCGGTATCAGGTTGCCATGTAGAGGAGGGGGCGTATTCACAGGAGGAATGGTAGATGAAAAGAAAAAAAGATGGGGTGGAGATGCAGGAGTTTTGGTTAAAAGGAGACTAAGAAGAGAAGGTTAAAGATGTGCATGAAAGCAACGGGGCAGCCTTTTCTCTCTGGAGCTGGAGTCACAGAGACGCTAGGGCAGCCGGGATGCTAGGATATAGAGAGAAAAGAAAGAACACTAACGCCTTTAATTCTAGTACTGGGGAAGCAGAGATAGGCGGATCTCTGAGTTCGAGGCCAGCCTAGTCTACAAAGAGAGTTCCAGGACAGCCAGGGCTGTTACACAGAGAAACCCTGTCTCAGAAACAAAACAAAACAAAACAAAACAAAAGAATATTAAGAAAAGAGGAAGAAAACCAATATCGAGGGACTATGATGGCCTGCTATATTGGCTGGGTGTATTTTATAAACAAAAAAAAGAGCTGTAGAAGGAAACAAGAGTTAGGAGGAGCCTGGGTGTGGGGCCAGATACTCTACTGACTCCCTGACCTAGTAGGAGACTTGGGGTTCGGGCCAAAGTCTCAGTGTGTTCAACGCCAAAGGTGCCTGGGAGCGGAGAGCAGGCGGGCTCGCTAGCTTCAGACGGTGATGCAGGACAGGTGGGCTCTCTAATTGCTAGCGGTTCACAGAGCCGGGGCTGAAGACTGGGCAGGCTGTCGTGGTGTCTCTCCCTCCCCACTCCTCTTCTCCGCCTGAAGTCCTGTCGGCTCTGCTCTGCTGTAAGCTGGTGGCTGATCCTCCTGCTTTTGCCTTGAGTGCAGGAACTACAAGTGTGCGCCATTAACCTGCCACGGTTCAGACTTTTGGAAAATAGGTAGGAAGTTTCAATTTCTTTAGATATATTCTTGTCTTCCGTTTGGAACCCTGTCTGCCCTTTGGCCCTGTTTGCTTGTAATGTGGCACAGTATCGCATAGTTCCCTTCTTACAGACCTGGACCGATTCCCTCCTAAGCTCTGGAGAGTTCGTAGGTCCTGTCTTGTTGTTTTCAGACGTACGTGTTTAATTTCTGTGCGTAGTTTCTGATTCAGTTGCCCGTTTTGACTGATGATTTGATGAGAGAATAAAAGCAGTCTTGCGGACAGACTCTATCCCTGACATAAAATGGTGAACTTTGGCCCAAGTGATTGAAAGGAACAATATCATCACGGGTGACATGTTTTCATATCTGAGTTGGTGTTCTAGAAGCCATTGCCAAAATACCTTTTGGCAGAAGAGAAAGAGAGCAGCTGACTGTAAGAGCTGGCCCGAGGAGGACCTTAAAAGGGTACCCAGGCACGCTTACCCAGGTCATCTTGTACAAGCAGGTGGCCTTAGCCTGTGAGCCCCTTGGCTCTGCCACTTCCTTGTGCCAGCGTATGTGCTCCTTAGTGCCTCCTGGCGAGTCAGAGTGGCGGTGACTGGAGTGCGCTCTGCCTGGTGGCCTGCACATCCTTCTGGGTGGTCTGTGTGCGGTGCTTTCTGTGGAGGAAGCCTTCCTCTTCTGATGTCTCTCCCTGTTTCCTGCTATGGTCAAATAGTCCTGGGAAGACTTGATCCTTTTTTCTGCCAGTTTTTATCTGGAAAACTTCAACAAAGTAAGTTGTCCCCCACAGCCTTTTGGTTTGTTTTTCTTTCTTTTTTTTTAATTAATTAATTTATTTTACGTATATGAGTGCTCTGTCTGTACGCATACCAGCACACAGAAGAGGGCATCTGATGTCACTACAGATGGTTGGGAGCCACAGTGTGGTTGCTGGGAATTGAACTCAGGACCTCTGGAAGAGCAGCCAGTGCTCTTAATCTCTGAGCTATCTCTCCAGCCCTTGTTTTTCTTTTTGATTTTTTGAAACAGGGTTTCTTTGTGTAGCCCTGGCTGTCCTGGAGCTCACTCTGTAGACCAGGCTAGCCACAAACTCATAGAGCTCCACCTGCCCCTGCGTCCCAATTGCTAGGTTTAAGGTGTACACCACCCCTGCCTGGCAGGTTTTTGTTTTGTTTTTTTCTTTGAGCAGGGTTTCATAATGTAGACCAGACTGGCCTCAAACTCACTGCCTCTGCTTCCTACTGAGATCCCACTCTTTTTTTGTTTGTTTGTATTTTGTTTTGTTTTGTTTTTTGAGATAGGTCTTTCTGTGTAGCTTTGAAACCTGTCCTGGTACTTGCTCTGTAGGCCAGACTGATCTCAAACTCATAGTGACCTGCCTGCCTCTGCCTCCCAAATGCAGGAATTAAAGGTGTGCACCACCACCCACTTCTTTTTATACTGTCTCCCTTGCCTTCCTGGTTCATGATTTGGCTACATCTTGAACTAGAAGCTAATAAGCATTTGGATGTAAAATGTTCATTTTATAAATGAACTACTCGTGAGCTGCTTTGAAAGGAAACAGCCTTGGTTTTGACCTTGCATTATAGAGAAGATTTATTTCTTAATCTGGAAATATGACTGCCCAAGACAAAAATTCCCTTCTACTTTTTTCAGCGAGGTTTCCCATACTCTGGGCCATCTTCGTCTAGCTATTTCCGAAAGGCCAGGAAGGCCCAAGCAGCCTGGGGACTCATTGGTGTGGTTACGTGCACTGAAGTGTAGAATAGGCTGATGGCTACTTAAATATTTGAAAAATGATCGTGTCTTAGGGTTATCATCACTGTGATGAAACACCGTGACCAAAGCCAAGTTGGGGAGGAAAAGGGTTTATTTGGCTTACCCCTCTACATCATGAAGGAAGTCAGGATGCATGTGTTTAGATGTGGGATGCAAACTTTTTTGTGTATGTGACAGATTTTGTTCTCTTTGTTCATTTATGATTTATGCAGGTAAAAAAGTTAAACTTCATTGAACCCTATTTAGTGAGTTTCTTTGATTTGGAAAGAGCGAGCGTTTCCCAGGTCTCTTTGAGACTCTGCTGTGAAGCGACTTTCTGAGGTCTGAGATTGCTCTGCCTGAGGCTGCCACCTCTCCCGGCAGCTGCACCCCATGAACGTGCAGCGGCACCATGCATGCACAAAGGTAGTTCATCACACCCTCACCACACCCGTTAACAGACCCGAGCGACAGTGGGATTGTACCCGCCGGGCTAGGTGGAAGATGGGTCTTCAGGGCCCTGTGCTGCTGTGGCTGTACCACGTTTAGTGTCTGTAAGTTGCTGGAGCCTCTAGGTAATTCTTGTTGCTTTGCCCTTGTGGCTTTTGGTGTAGCTGTGGTTCAGTCCATGTTGTGGGTCTGGAATGGGGCTGAAACTCTGCTGGTTGTGGGCGTGAGGGGCCCATGAGAGGGTGTGCAGCGTGGTCTGCAGCTAACAAGCCTAGCAAGGCTCTGGTCCTTGTCCCAGAGGCTCAGCTCTGCTCTTCTTCCCTGAGTAGGGGTTCCCACCCACCCATCTTCCCGCTATCTGGGTAGTGACCAGCTCCTGGGCCATTTTGGACCAGGCAGGGCCATTCCACACTTGCTTGGTACAAGGAGCTGAGATTGTAGTGAGAAAAAAATTTCTGCAAGTTCTCAACTCCACTGGGTTGAGCCTCAGTCTCCTCCCACCCTTGTCTATTACATGGAAAGGCTGGAGTGGGGGCTGCATAGCTTTAACTAATCCCTGGTTCTCCTGTGTTGCCCCTGATTTGGTTTGGTTTGGTTCTTCCAGGAAGAGCATGCTGAAGGAGAGGGTCATGGACTTGGTCACCCAGACGGCCATCCTGCCTCTGCTGTTTGGCTGCCTGGGGATTTTCAGCCTCTTCCGGGTGCTACAGCGGATCCGCTCAAGGGCTCACCTGAGGGATGCTGTGGTGGTGGTTACAGGTGCCACGTCAGGGCTCGGCAGAGGTAAGCCATGGACCTGTGATGCCAGGAGTGGGATCGGCAGGCTTCCTGGGCATCACAGGACATGCGGAAGGGATCCGCCCTCTGGTTCAGTTGGAAAAGAAGGGCAGTGGTGGTGGTGCAAGCCTTTAATCCCAGCATTCTGGAGGCAGAGACAGGCAGATCTTTGTGAGTTTAAGGCCAGCCTGGTCTTCAGAGCAAGTTCCATGACAGCTAGGCCTGTTACACAGAGAAACCTTGTCTCGAAAAACAAAAAACAAAACAAAACAAAAAATTATGTCACGCCTCTGGCTGGAAGCCTCCACTGGGCCTTACCTCCAAGCTCCACACTGGTCAGCACGTACGTGTCAGTGTGTGAGAAGCAGTCCTTGTGCTGCGCTGGGTGACTGAGCTGCCTGGAGGGAAATGGCACTAGATAATTTCAGCTGTCTTTCTTTTCCCTTAGAATGTGCTAGAGTCTTCCATGCTGCAGGGGCAAAGCTGGTGCTCTGTGGTCGAAACGTGGAAGCCCTTGAAGCCCTCACCAGTGAACTTGCTGGTTCTCGTACCTCCCAGGTGAGCCTATAGCAAAGGTTCTGTGGGGAAGGAAGTTTGAGACCCATCCACATTTTACACCCGACATCGCCATCCGATGCCAGCCACCACTGCCTAGTCCCCTGCATACTCATCTAGTAGGGTGTTGACTGGAGAAGTGATAATTTTTTTTTCTTTTAATTATCTTATGTGTTGGAGAGATGGATCAGAGGTTTAAGAGCACTGGCTACTCTTCCAGAGGTCCTGAGTTCAATTCCCAGCAACCACATGTTAACCAAGCTGGCATCAAACTCACAGATACCTGTGTGTCTCTGTCTTCCAAGTGCTGGGTTTGGAGGCCATGTGCCGCCACCACCCAGCAGTGCTGATCATTTTTAACATAATGGGTTTTATTCTTCAAGAAATTCACACATGCATACAACGTATTTCAGTCTTATTTGCCACCTACTCTCTTCCAGCTCCTCCCAAATGCCCCTACTCCATCCCTCTCCTTTTAAAAATAACCCACCAAGACGGGCAGTGGTGGTGCATGCCTTTAATACCCGGCACTTAGGAGGCAGAGTCAGGCAGATCTCAGTGAATTCGAGGCCAGCCTGGTCTACAGAGTGATTTCCAGGACAGCCAGGACTGTTACACAGAAAAACCCTGTCTCACAAAAAAACAAATAAATAAATAAACAAATAAAAAAATAACCCACCAAGTCCATTTTATGCTTCTCTTTCCTATCAACTGCATGAAGATCCCTTAGGGCTGTCCCCTGTATTCCTTGCAGGGCAAGGCTCATGGACCTGGGAATGCCTTCATCCCCCCTTTCACTTTTGAAGGGCTGTTATGCTATATGCTGACTTAGTGTTTTGTTATAATTTAGATCTAGCAGCCTGCTTTCGTTAGCCTTCAGGGTTTTTGGTGAACATGGGCCGTGCTCTGTGAAAGACTTTAATGTGAGGAGTAGCTTCTGTTATTCTCAAGACTCCCTCTTGACATTTAAGGACCTTTGTCCCATTGTGGGTCACTGGTTCATCTGGTTGGTGGGGAACGTCTTAGGTGGCGTTGAGTCATGTCTTTGGTGGGCCATTTCGTGTTTAAATACTTCTCAGAGCGCCACATTTCCTACGTTGGCTTGCTTGATAGAATACTATAGATTTCTTAGGCTCTATCTCGCTTTTTTTTTTGTTTAGATTTATTAATTTAAATGGTAATGTTTTGAGTTCATAGATTTCTTCTTTCCTCGCCCGCTTTTAGATGCTAGTGTATTCACCTCTTCACTTATTGTACTTAAGCTCTAGAATTTTTTTTATTTTTTTAATTTTTTTATTTTATTTATTAATTTTTTAATTGCTCAATGTTTTATTTGAAGTTCTACTTCAAAACCAAGAATTTTTAGATGTTTCCAAACTTGGGACTTGGTGCTAAAGCATTTTTCTGTTCCAAATTAAACACACACACACACACAACATGGTTTCTCTCTGTAGTCCTGGCTATCCTCAAACTCACTCTGTAGACCAGGTTGTCCTCAAACTTAGAGATCTGCCTGCCTCTGCCTCCTCAGTGCTGGGATTAAAGGTGTGCACTACCACTGTGTGACTAGAATTTCTTTTTGTAATTTCCCCTTTATTGAAATACTTTCTTATTCATCTATGTCCTGTTGCTGCCAGTGTCTTCCCTCATTCTTCCAGCATTGCAGAGATAGTTGTTTTAATGCCTTTGTTATTAAATCTAGCCTCTCAGCCTCCCAGGGATTCTTTTTTGGAGATTTATTTATAATTTTGATGTTCCAAAGCAGTCTGCTAGCAGCTGTTTTCAGTGGCGGCTGTTAAAACAGAGCCCCCTGCACCTCAGGCACGAGCAGTAGGTCAGCTGTGAATGGAGGCTAAGTTTCTTCTTGCCCACTTTGGGTACCCTAAGCTGCACCAGAAATACAGTCTGCCACAGTCTCCTGCCAGGTTTTGGTGGCAACAGCTACCTGGTGACTGCAATCTGCCCCTGGTAGCTGTGACTTGCCAGCCAGCATTCCCTTGGTAGTTACATCCAGGTAACCTGGAGCTTCAGGTCACTTCACAGGGTTTCCGCTAGGACAGCTGTCCAGAGGCAATGGGTTCCCCGAGCTCCGCTCTTGCTGAGCTGTGCAGAACCGTGCTGAGCCCGATCCTCTAGCACCTGGGACTTACTTTGCAGCAGTTTTGTGACTGTAGAGGTGAACTGCCCTCCCCTTCAAACTGGGTCAGCAGCCATGTCTGGCCCCCTTCCTGTGTCCCAGGGCCTTCCAGGAACACATGGATAACATGTCATAAACAGATGAGTAGATATGACAGCCAGGAATGGACGGCACCTGTGACTGTTGAGTGTCATAATGTACAGTGTGGAGCAGCAGAGGCAGTTCCTGTTAATAGCTCATGCGGTAACATACACACCATACATGATCCTTACCTGTGGCTCTCAGTTTGGCTGATGAAGGTAAGAGGGGCCCTTCGTCACATCTTGTAGAGCATAGCAGTCACCTTCAATCTAGGAGAAATTTGCCCAGACAGACGTGAACACCCCAGGCTGGAACTGCATAGGCCACGTCTTTGGAAGAGGGTTGCCACAACTTTATAGCATTTGTTCCAACTGGACCAGTCCCAAAACTGAAAAGCAGGAACATGGCTGCCACTCATAAAGTACATTTTGTGTTTTTTATTTGGCCAGGGACAGATGTACAAACCTTACATAGTGACGTTCGACCTCACAGATCCTGGGGCTATTGCTGCAGCAGCAACTAAGATCCTCCAGTGCTTTGGCTATGTGGACATCCTCATCAACAATGCTGGGGTCAGCTACCGTGGTGCCATCAGTGACACCATAGTGGACGTGGACAGGAAGGTGATGGAGATAAACTATTTTGGCCCTGTTGCACTAACAAAAGGTAGGGGCATCTTGGGGTAGGACGTGTGAGCACCAAATCATTAGAATGCCTGTTAATCTTGCTTGGTTTCTTTTTAACGAGACACTGTTCCTGTCCATTCTGCCCCTTGCAGTGGGTGTGGTCATTAGAGTCTGGGTTTCTATTTGCGTTGTGTTTGTTTTGCGCCCTCACGTAAGTGTTGGTCTCATTGATGCTGCTTTGCATTTCTGCTCCACGGTCCCTGCATACCACAATGTTTTGATGTACTGATACAGACTTCAGGTCAGAGGTTAAGCTCCCAGTAGGACGGGGAACTGTGATGTTTGTATGGTTCTCCGAGGAGAACTCTAGCGTCTCCTCCAGCAGCACCAGGCACAGTGATTAGACACTGTTGAACTTTCCACCCTGTCCCTGCAGCACTCCTGCCTTCCATGGTCAAGAGGAAGCAAGGCCACATCGTCGCCATCAGCAGCATCCAGGGCAAGATCAGCATTCCTTTTCGATCAGCGTGTAAGTGCTTTGGCCTTCCTTTCCCAGAGCATTTTTAGTTTTTTTTTGATTATAAAAATGATGTGTTCACTAGCTAGGCTCATACACTGTAGAAATACCCTACAGATACATGAGTAACTTCATCAGAATGTTCTTTCTGGGTTTTTGTTTTGTTTTGGGACACAGTTTTTCTACTTAGCCTTGGCTGCCTGGGAACTCAAGCAGTAGGTCAGGCTGTCCTTGAACTCAGAGATTTGCCTGCGCTAGGGCCGCACCCACCAATGACCACACTGTTTCAGCAGTCACGCAAGCCAGTCTAAATCTTAGCCTATTTCTTATCCTTTAGGTGACCTTGGGCAGGTGTCCCTCCCTAAGCTCACCCTTACAGTTGGAGACAGTTCTGCCTGAAGGCTGTTAAGACCTGTAGTGTCCCTGGACTGAAACCCTTCCAGTACTTTGGGGCATATGGCTCCAATTTTTTTTCTACTTAAACTGAAACATCCAAAATGGGATCACGTTTTATATAGTATTTCTGATTTGTTCAGTCCACTAGATAAGCATATAGGTTCTTTTAAGTAGATATAATTCAGTAATGGCTATGACATAATTAATTTAGCCATTTTTATAGACACTGGGGAATCCCCCATCCCCACCTCAGACTTTGGCCCTTAGTAGTGATTTATGACAGAATATTCTTGACTATTAATATCTTTAGTAGCTCACAGAGAGATTAAGCCCTAAGAAGTAGAAACTGGAAACAGCTTGTAAAGGCTCCTGTGGGGTCCGGTCTGTCACTGGGGGATCCCCTCCCCACACAGGACTAGATAGACCCACTTGGCAGAGCTGAATGTGTGTGTACACAGAATAAAAATTATATATATATAATATATATATATACACACACATACACACACGCCTATACATACATCATATATATATATATAATTTTTTATGAGCCATTTGAGGACGCTGAAGGGATGGCAGCATTTTATTCCAGGACAAAGTGGACTTGTCAGAATCAGGACATGAACATGGCTGTAGTGTTGTAATCACCAGCACCCTTTCTGCCTCTGTCCACACCTACAGATGCAGCCTCCAAGCATGCCACCCAGGCATTCTTTGACTGTCTGCGTGCTGAGATGGAGCAGGATGGCATCAAGGTGACTGTGATAAGCCCTGGCTACATCTATACCAATCTCTCTGTAAATGCTGTCACTGCCGATGGCTCCAGATACGGAGGTAGGTCTGGTTTCTCTCCTCCATCAGAAAAGGGACAGGCTGACTGTAACACAGCACTCTGCTGGCCTGAGTGTTGGCTGCAGATGTGGACTGCTGTGGACCTGGCATCTCCCCATCCAGACCCCCTTGGCCTTATCTCAAATTCAGCTTTTAGAACAAGATCCCCCATAGGTAGAGAACTGGGACATAAAATCCCTCACCAAATTTCCACTAACTCATCTGCAGATCCCAAGGTCTAAGGAATAATATAATTAAGACTAAGTAAATTGAACTCAGCTAGCAGGGGAGGGGGAAGGGTCAGAGGAAGAAAGGGGCACTTGGCATGATCAGCTCCTGCCCGGGGTGTTGGAGAAATGGCTAGGGAAAGTGTTCAGGTGAGGCTGGATGAGGTGAGGCAGTATCAGTCTCTAACCTACCCAGCCAGAAGCTGTGCTGAGCTGACCTCAGGTGCTGCCCATGGGTTGAGCAGCCTGACCCCTGCTTATACATACAGGAGCAGACAAAGAACAGTTGCCTTCCATCTTGGGTCAACTATTAGAGCCAGCCTTACCTTCCCGAGCTTGGAGCAGGCCTGTTATCTGTCTGTCTAGCAGACTAACACTAAACCCTGCCACTAGGCTGTGGTCTGTGTTCTGTGGTCTACACTGCTGTTGTCCACGTCCTGAGGGTCTCGCACCCATCTGAGCAGGCCTGAATCAAGACCACCCTAATCTGGGTGGCTACTTTGCCACACACAGCAGTCTCCTCATAGAAAGCCACAGCGGTAGGAGCCAGACAGCTGCAAACCTGTTCTCAATTTCCCATTCTCCTGTGGTGAGCACACAGGAGGACAGATCCCCGTGGGAGCTCGGGTTCTGGGTGGCGTGTGCTAATGGCCTCTTCTGTGTCTGTCAACCGGTTCTGCTCTGCTAGTAAGATGGATGAGTCATCAGCAAAGAAGGAACATTAGATGCTGTTACCCTACACCCGCCTAACTGTCCCAGCTGTTCCTCCTCCAGCCCTTGCATGCCACTGGGAACTGGGACAGCTGTTTATTCCCGTCTCAGTGCACAGGGGTGCACATGGGGTCAGATGGGCTCTACCATCTATCTCCTCTCCTGCTGACAGCCTTGTGCACCAGCCACGGCAGAGCAGATAATATACCGTCCCCTAGTCACTGCTTTTGCCCAAATGCAGAATATCCAAGGTCAAGAAAGCTCTCAGGCCATTAAATGGCTCATGGGTAACACTGCCACCAAGCCTGATCTCTTTCTCTTTCTCCCTCTCTTTCTTTCTCTCTCTCTCTCTCTCTCTCTGTTTTTGTATTTATATGTATACGAATGTTCTGTCTTCATGCCAGGAATCAGATCCTGTTATAGATGTTGTGAGCCACTATGTGGTTGCTGGGAATTGAACTAAGGACCTCTGGAAGAGCAACCAGTGCTCTTAGCTGCCGAGCCATCTCTTCAGTCCTGGCGATCTTGAGGTGTGGGGTGGGGTCCACTCTGAGTCCTATCTATGCTGGCTTTTGGCATCTGTCACAGACCACCAAGCAAGCACACTCTCTAGTTAGTCGGTACCACACACTAACTGGTATACCATCTGCCATCCTGTCTGTATCTCTGCAGCCCCCATTTACCTGCTTTGAACCATAAACAGTTCATTTTCTCAGTGTAATCGTCTACTTCCAGGAGGGGCTCTGGGAAGCTGGCCTCATGACTCTTACTTATCCTCATGTTCTTTCCTTCTGTTTGCTGCAGCTCTAGACAAGAACACAGCCCAGGGCAGAAGCCCTGCAGAGGTGGCCCAGGATGTCCTTGCTGCCGTGGGGAAGAAGAAAAAGGATGTGATCTTGACTGACTTACTGCCATTCTTGGCCGTCTATCTCAGAACTCTGGCTCCTGGGATTTTCTTCAGAATCATGGCCTCTAGGGCCAGAAAAGAGCGGAAATCCAAGAACTCGTGATGTTGGTCAGAGCTGCTAGCCTGGATCAGCCTAAGTACCACCCCTTCCTGGGCTGGGATTGTTCTGCAAGGGATTCATGGCTGAGAACCTGACGGGGGCTGTCTTGCACTCTAAGGTGGACAGAAGCACTTCTGTTCTCTCTGGGGGTGGGTTAGCCTGTTAGAACTAAAATGTGGAGTTGGGCTGGGACTCTACAGATGTAAAATAAATGACTGAACAGTAGGTCAGAGTTCTCAGTAGAAGAGCCGCATGTCCTCTGAGGCCTGGACCTGCCAGATTCCAGAAGTTCTTGTGGAGGTTTGGGAACTAGGTCTCCTCACTGCACCAACTCCATATTTGTTTTTTTGGTTTGTTGTTGTTTTCTGAGACAGGATTTCTCTTGTGTAGCCCTGGCTGTCCTGGAACTCCCTCTGTAGGCAAGGCTGGCCTCAAACTCGGAGATCAACCTGCTTCTGCTTCCAAAGTGCTGGGATTAAAGGCGTGTGCCATCACCGTCCAGCCACCTCTGACTTACTGAAAATGGATTCACTGAGCAGGTCAACTTCATTTCCAAGTTTAGAAAGAGATTTTTCCTGTTACAGAAACTGACAGCTGAAATCATAGGAAGTCTATTGGCCATTTCCCCAAATCAAAGTAAATCTCCCACATAAAGCTGTCGTCTTCACTCAGCTCTGGGCCTGCCAAACTGCCTTTTAAGATCACTTAATAGATACAGGTCTGCCCTTAGCTCACTCCCGCTCTTACCCGCCAGCCACCTTAGGTCCCCATCCCTTTCACTTCTAGTTTAATGCATATCATTTTAAGTGGCCGTATGAAATTTAGGAACCACAAACTAGGAAACATGCGATACTTATTTTCTGAGACTGGTTAATTCATGATATTGGGTCATTTTTCCAAAAATGTACAAGACTTCATTCTTTATGGCTGAAGAAAGCCTTATCTCTGTTTCGTGTCTGATGCTGGAGACCTAAGCTGGTGGCATAGCTTAGCTGTTGTGAACAGTGCTTCAGTGCACACTGCTGACAGGTGTCACAGTCTGACTACGTCCTTGAGGTGAACATCAAGGGGTGGTATAGTATAACAGATCTAGAGTGTTGGTTGTTTTTGTTTTTTTTTTTTTTTTTTTTTTTTTTTTGGTTTTTCGAGACAGGGTTTCTCTGTGGTTTTGGAGCCTGTCCTGAAACTAGCTCTTGTAGACCAGGCTGGTCTCGAACTCACAGAGATCCGCCTGCCTCTGCCTCCCGAGTGCTGGGATTAAAGGCGTGCGCCACCACCGCCCGGCTGTTTGTTTTTTTGAGACCAGGTTTCTCTGTAGCTTTGGAGCCTATCCTGGAACTAGCTCTTCCATGCTGGCCCCAAACTCAGAGATCCACCTGCCTCCACCTGTGCTGGAACTAAAGGCATGCACCACCACTACCTGGCCAGATCTATGTATGGTGTTATGAGAAACTTCCATACTGGTTTCTGTGAGGTCACAGTAGTTTAGATTCTATTCAGCAGTGCATGAGGGTTCCTTTTTATCTACATCCAAGCCAGCATTTGCTGGTTTTTTTCCTGGCCTTTTGAGATGGGGTCTCTATATAGCCCCTGGCTGTTCTGGAACTCCCTCTGTAGACCAAGTTGGCCTTGAACCCAGAGATCCACCTGTCTCTGCCTCCTGAGTGCTGGGATTAAAGGTGTGTGCCACCACTGCCCAGCGCATTTGCTGTTCTGTCCCCCGCCCCCATTTTCTTAACAGTTTGAGTTTCGCATCTTACATGGAAGTATCTCATTTGGAATTGACTTGTGCAGGGTGAGATGAAAATCTAGTTTCATTCTTGATCATGTGGATGCTCAGGCCTCAAAGCACCATTTTTGACATCTTCGTAAAAAATGATTTTTAATCTGTCTTTTATTTTGTTCCATTAATCTATGTCTGTGTTCAATGCCAATACTGTGCCATTTTTGTTACTATGACTCTAATATAACTTGAAGTTGGGGGCCGGAGAGATGGCTCAGAGGTTAAGAGCACTGGTTGTTCTTCCAGAGGTCTTGAGTTCAATTTTCAGCAACCACATGGTAGCTCACAACCATCTATAATGAGATCTGGCGCCCTCTTCTGGCGTCCAGGTAGAACACTATACTGAAGTCATATACTGCCCACATTTACTTTTTTTAAAAATAATTTTTAAACTTCATTTTATGTACATTGGTGTGAAGGTGTCAGATCTTGTGGAACTGCATTTTCCATAAGTTCCACTGGAAGAGCAGTCAGTGCTCTTAACTGCTGAGCCATCTCTCCAGCCCCCCACATTTACTTTTTTAAAGATTACGTTGGCTATCTGGGTTCTCTCTCTCTCTCTCTGTGCTTCCAAGGTTAGTTTTTCTAGTTTTTATTTTAGTGCAGTTGCATTGACTCTGTAGCTATCGTTTGATATGGTGGCCAGTTTCCTTCCCTCCCTCCCAGACTGTATCTCAGTCTGGCCTCAAACTCACTGTCTCACTGTGGTAAGGATGGCTTTTAACTCCCCCCTTTTCGGGACAAGGTTTCTCTGTAGTCTTAGACCCTATCCTGAAACTAGCTGTTGTAGACCAGGCTGGCCTTGAACTCACAGAGATCCGCCTGCTCGCCTGCTTCTGCCTCCCGAGTGCTGGGATTAAAGGTTCACCACTGCCTGGTGGCTTTTAACTCCCAATCCTCCCACCCTTCCTTCTCTAGTTTCTATGCATGTGTCACTATGCCAATTTGGGAATGGTTAAGATCAGACCTGGGGCCTCATGCATGCTAGGCAGTCACTTACAAACTGAATTACATCCATAACCCCAAACAGTCATTTTTACAACATTAATTCTCCCGGCCCATTAAGAATGGAGATCCTAGCTGGGCGGTGGTGGTGCATACCTTTAATCCCAGCACTCGGGAGGCAGAGGCAGGCAGATCTCTGAGAGTTCGAGGCCAGCCTGGTCTACAAGAGCTAGTTCCAGGACAGGCACCAAAACTAGAGAAACCTTGTCTTGAAAAAACAAAAACAAAAACTAAATAAAAATGGACGTCCTTTCCTCGTTTACTGTCTTCACTTTTTTTTTTAAGACAGACTGTGGGAACAGTCGATTTGTAGATCAGGCGGCCTTGGACTCTCAAAGATCCACTTGCCTCTACCTCTTTAGTGCTGGGATTAAAGGTGTTCACCACCACCCAAGTCAGTTTCTTTCTCGAATATTTTAATGTTCTTTGTAGAGGTTTTTAACCTCTCATACCGAGGATGCTTTTCAGTTACTTTTCTGGTGGTGTCTTTAGAGTCCCGTAGAAGCCGAATTTGCAAACAAGGATACTTTCCTCCTTTCCTGTTTAATTTGCCTCTTATTGTTGAGCTGTATGGGTGTTTTGTCTGCATGTATATCTATGTACCATGTGCAATGCCTGCTGCCTGTGGCAGCCAGAGATGGTATATCAGATTTTCTGGGACTGAAGTTACTGCCGGGTTTTAAGCTGCCATGTGGTGCTAGGAATGGAATGGCTCCTCTGGAAGAACAGCCAGTACCCTTAGCTTCTGAGCCGTCTCTCCAGTGCCTCCTGCTGCTCTCTCACCCTGACAGGTGATTAAAACGGCTGCAGATAGCTAGGGTCAGTGTTGGAGGCTTTCAAATTCCCCGGGAGGAGGAAGTTGAGTGGGTGATTAGATCTGTGGCTTATTTACCCTGGCTCACACATTGTCCTGAATGGCCCAAGAACTGTGGGTGAAACATACAGATCATAGGTGGCCTCCTATCTTCCACAGGTGCCATCCACCCTCCTGCCAGGGAGGATGCCAGCAGCCAACTGTACCAGGGCTGCAGCCTAGTGGTTCTCTTGCCCTCAGGCCCAGGGCTTAGATCATCATCTTGCATGAGAAACAAAGGACATGGCTATTGTCCATGAATGTGCAGGTTACTCGGATCCTTGGGCCCTCACTTGTGAGGTAGCATGAAGCTACAAAGCACCCTGCATATTCCTAGTGAACTGCAGCAAGGACACGCCCCGGCATAGAAATAACACTTTGTCTGACACTTGTTGGCTGGCACTTTGAGAAGGGTCACGTCCAGCTACCATTCTTTCCATTAAATAAAGTGGTAAGCCATAGCAACAGCACACTCGGTCATCAGAGGATGGAACATCAACCTGGTTGAGGGAGGTCAGTTTAGAAGACACTGGTAGGCAGCTTAGAACCACTGAGTCCTCATCACAAGTGAGGGCACAAGGATCCGAGTAACCTGCACATTCATGGACAATAGCCACGTCCTTTGTTTCTCATGCAAGATGATGATCTAAGCCCTGGGCCTGAGGGCAAGAGAACCACCAGCTGCAAGGTTATGTAATACATGACTATTCCCGCCAAGCTGAGTCCCCTCTTCCTACCTGCTGTCACCCAGGAAACTGGACGCTCAGAAGCCATAGCCCACCTTCAACTCGTGCTCTCTTGGACGAACTTTATTCCTGACATTTCTGCCCAGTAGCTTAATGTGAGAGCAGCTGCCACCCACGGTTGCAGTGCTGCAGCTGTCCTGACTTCCTGTTCTCTGGAAAAGTGTCCCCTATCCTGAAATTCCTTAAGGTATCCTGGTAGTCAAGGTTCAGTCTTGCTCTTTAAAACTTGTGGTGTCTGGTCACCGGTGCTTCTCGACCCAGCTGCTGACCACCCTACAGGGTAAGCAACAGGGTAAGCTCAGGCCTCATAGGCTCAAGGGTAGTCACTGAACCAGAGGTGTAACCAGGGTGAGACCCAGTGGAAGGAGCTCCCCACGATCTGCCGCTCCATGTTTCCTGTTAACTGCTCCTTTACAGAGCTTTTTGCTCCTGAAAGTGGATTAAGTGGGTAGACAGTTAAGACCAGACTGGTTTGTTAGATTCATTCCATGACCCATGCCTTAAAAGGGCCACACAGAACTGCATCCAGTGGGTTTCCAACAAGGTCTAAGTTGTGCAGTTTTTCTTTCTTCTCAACAGAGAAAGCTACTATGAAAACATTGTGGCTATCACCAGAAATGAGGTTCACAGGCTGCCTCTCTCAGAGCCCAGCCCAGGCACACCCAACCCTACCCTGCTAGCTAGGGGCCAAACCAAGATGGCATTTCAGAATCTGGGTTAGTCCGCTCAACAAGAGTCACTTTGTTCAGTGTAGCTTGGGAAATAGGAAGGAGCTGTTTGTACCTGGTTTCTGTTTTGGGCAAGGGCATCTGCTCAGCTGAAATGAGGTCCCCAGCCCACAGTCACCCCCCCACACCCCATGCAATCTGATGTGCAGAAAGAACACAGCCAGACCAGGTGATGCTTGTTACAAAAAACCCCTCCCAGGCTGTGCTTGCCCAGCAGGCTCAGAGCCAACCTTCAGGCACTCGGGGCTCTCAGAGGCCCCAGAAACAGCTGGGATTGCTTGTGGCTAAGGCAGCAGCTCCCTCTTCATCCTGATCCACCACACTGCCACATAACAATACTCTGTGTAGATAACATCATCTCATCACTGAGTACTCACTGAGCCAGCAGTATTTCTACAGTACTTGGAATGAAGTCAAAGTTTTTTGTACTTCTGTGGGCTTTTGAAAATAATGCCCAAACTGGATCTCTTCTATCACAAATGTCCCAATCGCCCCTGGGAGTTCTCTAAAACCTCGTTTCCCTTACCTCCAGGTTAGGACCCCTTCCTGATGCTGGGTGTCAGAACTTCCTGTGGAGAAGCTAGCTTGGCTGTTTACTAAAGACCACAGAAGCGCTATGCCTCAGCCTTTGTGCGGGGAATCATTTTCCACTTACTGAAAGCCTTAGGAAAAAGACACAAAGCTGGGCGTGGTGGCACATGCTTTAATCCCAGCACCCAGGAGGCAAACAAAAGATCTGAGTTCCAGGCCCAGCTGGTCTACACAGCAAGAAAGACTGCCTCAGAAAAACCAAAACCAACCAACCAAACACACTGTAAGACTCACTGCTCTCAACAGAGGCATCTCCCACAGCCTGGGGCACTGGGGTGAACTTAGGGCTACGTAGGAACAGCAGAGGTCTGTGCTTTCTGTGTTCTCCTAAGTCAGTCTTTGGAGAAGGGCTTTTGGGCTTGGCATCCCCAGGTGAACCAAAGGAAGACCAAGGCCATCTTATCCTATTA